CGAGAGAGGAGGGTGAGTGTGATACGCACTGGATCGTCCACAACCCCCTGTCCCCTCTGGGGACCCAGAAATAGAGGAATTGCTCTTTGTCAAGTATTTGGGTACCACCGACCGAGAGGTCAGTGGCGGAAAAAGATGAAAAGATTATCCGCCCGGCCCTCCTCTGGGGGAGGGAGTGGTGTGCTTACCATCTCCTAAAGAGCAGGTCCCTCCACCTCTGGGTTGCCCGTCTCGGGGCCTCTGCTCTTTCGCTTGCCACCAGGTTTGGCGGGGGCCTGGACGGGCGGGGCGGCTGCCCTGCGACCGGCTCCACGGCAAAGCTTTGCTGGAGGCCGCAGGAGTGAGGCGGTGGCAGTGGGGCCGCCCTCGGCGATGGGCGAGTTCTCCACCGTGGGCAAGTTCTCCACCGTGTCGCCGAAAAGGCCGGCCTGGGACACGGGGGCGTTCAAGAATCGTGTCATGTCCATCTCGCGCATGTCAGCCAGTCATAGCCAGAAATGGCGCTCCTGGACCATCATAGTGGACATCGCACGACCCAGAGACCGCGCCGTAACCTTCGTCGCTCGTAGCGCGAGGTCCGCCGCAGTGCAGAGTTCTCTGCGAACATCCGGGTCGTGACCACCCTCGTGCAAGTCCCTCAGTGCCTTGGCCTGGTGCACTTCCAATCACGCCGTAGCGTGTAAGGCAGAGGCAGCTTCTCCACAGGTCGTATAAGCATCGCTGGCCAGTCGAGTACCTACAGACCCGGGAGGGGAGGCACGGTTCTCCCTGCCAGTTGGAGGCGGTATTAGGACACAACTGCATCGCAACCGACCGCTCCACTGGGGGGACCCTTGTAACCCCCTAGCTGCCCACCATCGAGGGTGGTGAGGGAGGAGGAACCAGCAGATCGGTTTACGGCAGTAAAAAGGTGCTGTCCACGACCTGTTGAGCTCCTCTTGCACCTCCGGGAAGAAAGGCATCGAGGCGGGGCGCTGAGAAGCGGGGACCACCCCGAGAACCAATCGTGCAACCTTGAGGGCTCAGGACACGGTGGAAGTCGCCACTCGAGCCCTACCCCTACGGCGGCCCGGGAAAGCATCACCATTGTTTCTGGATCCCTTTCAGCT